ATAATAGTTTAAGCTGACAATGACAGTCAGAAGAATGGTTGAGGCTTGAAGCAGGTGAAGGAAATGAGGAAATTAATAGCCAGGATTTCCAATTTTGAGGCCTTCGTATTATAAGTGTAAGATTTTGTTGAGAATTCTACTTTTCTCTTTGTTTTTCAGAGAGTTAAGGAACTCCACAAAGTAAATGAGAATATGCAAATGACAATAGATGAAATGGAAAGGAAGATTGATGAAGCCCTCTCTTCAAACAATGAAAATGGACCTGTAAGTAATGTGTGACTTAGAACTTCGGCTGCTATTTTTAGAGTTAACAAATTTCTTAACCAGACACAAAAATGGGACAGTGTAATAATTATGTTGAGGAATGTTTTGCTAGAAAAATAGTTTTTTACTAGCATTTGGTGCCATGGCTTTCTAGTCTGATTTGTAGTGACTCACTTTAAATGTTCAAGCAAGTGATTGCCATTTATGCAATATATTTTCAAATGTTGCTTTTACATTTGTGTTATCAACAGGAGAAAGGTACAAAATATCAGGGAATGTTCTATGGAAATGTTTTTCTTTACGTTTTTGTAGGCCAGTTGATTTTTCTGTAAACAAAGAAAACTGCCATCTACAGTTATTTGTAGACTTCGGACAGTATGACTCCTGTTTAGATTGCAGAGCTGTTTAATATTAATTACACAATTATTCATTCCATAAGTTTTTGTCCCTCTGGTGTATAGGGCTCATCTGATACCTCAGTAGACCGTAAAATAGTGGTAGAAGGTGATGAAAGCTACAAGGACAGATACTCAACTATTAACAAGGATGAAGAGGATACACCTAGACACCTCCAAAAAGCTGATGCACCACAGGAAACTTCTAGGGGTGATGCTGTGGCCAGGCAGTATTCAGAGATTGGGGAAGATACTAATGCAGTTCCTGATGAAGATGATTAAAATAGAACTTAAGGGTGTTGGTAATTTGTAATATCATTTTATGAAATGGTGTTTATGCCACAGTTTTTACTCTCTTTTATAAAGTAAAAGAATTGTGGTTTGGAACATGGAGGCTTAAGAAAATGCAGACACTTAAAACCGATCCAGTCCAGTTACCTTGTGGTGAGATACACCCTGGTCTGCATGCTTCCAGTTCCATTTGTGTTTGTTTTTAATTGGTTTTTGTTCTTTAGTTTGAGTAACACAATAGTGCCCAGTGTTGAAACCATCTGTTTGCTAATGTTGCAGCCAAGGAAAAAATGTGTTGAAACCATCTCTTTGCTAATGCTGCAGCCAAGGAAATTCACCCAAATTGCAGAAAAAATTATAACTGAAATTCCTGTTTTTATGAAACTTTGGGAAGTGAAATTTGTCTGTGTGCAAGGCCTGTCACAATTTATCATGTATGTAGTAGAACAGATGATTGGATCCAAACTCCTCATCTGCTGTTGAACATGTCTTTCAGGCACAGATAAACATCAGGCTTTGTGTAATTGTTGTATGTTGTTGCATGAAATGGACTCATCTATCAAGTCTACATCTGCATTTAGAGTACATAATGATCACTTAAATCAATGTATCATCACCGAAATGAGTAGAGTATGATCTTGGTTACAACAGTCTGCAATTGTATGTTGGAAGAAATCCAAGATTTATTTTGTTTTTCTTTACTTTGCTTGAAGATCAATCCAGACAACTTGCACCATTTTCACTCCATTAGAGACAAAATTAAAACCTATGCAACTTTTCTCCATTTCCTCTTGCAACTTACTTGTTTTTTACTTCTCTTTTCTATTGGTGTTAATTTCCTTTGCTTTGATTGGCTGATATGTTGTATATTTGTACAATTTGCAATACTCAGCTGAAATGTGCATTTTTTCCAACTTCCATTTTTGCTTTGCATAACTTGTAATCGGTGGAACTATCAATTTTTTAAAAACTCTTTTTTATTTTAAGTAGTTAAAAGGATACATGCAAGTTTATAAAATAAGTGAGATGGTGCAAGCAGCCTGATTTGTCAAAATCCTGACATTTGTTGATCCAGTTAACCCCTAGTTTATCTAATAATAGCAGTAGACCTCACTTTCTATCAGTTTATATATGTGTGATCTACAGCTGTAAATTGCATTTATTGTATATACATACATCAGTTTACATTATGACATCATGAATACTACATGAACAAGACTAAGGAGTTAATTTATGTGCTCATCAGTTTGTTGCCTTTGTGGCTTAAAATGCTTAAAGTAAATTTTATCTTTAGTAAATGTAATATTTTGGAGTTTTATTTGACTCTTAATCTTAGATACTCAGGATTGTGGTACATATGTATATTTCCATTTCTGTTTATTGAATTTTCCATCCATTGATTTCATTTGGTGGTGGGGATTCTTTGGCTCACCATTCACAATTACAGGAAAAAGCTTATGATTAAGATAGAAAATTTTGAGAAAGACCAACTTTTCATATAGATGATGGACTCCTAAAGATGGGTAAAAAAAGCTATTAAAGTAAAATAATTATTCAGCAAGGACATAGATTATAAGTTGGCCCAATAATTGAAAGCAGTGGGCATAATAGAGTATAATAACATATTAAATATGTAGCAATTTAGCTTATAACAGGTTTTGGGGAAAATTATAAATAAAGATGTTTTTGGGAATAAAGAATTTTTTAGCCAATCGTTTGTTTCAAAATGTGTGAATTCTTGCTAGGAAACACTTCTCAACTACATGGAAGTCCAACAGAACTGAAAAAAGTTACTGTTCATTTGTCAAGGACAAGAAGATTTCCCCCCTTCTTTTGGTGAAACTGGCTTGTCTGTTGGCGTAGCAGCAGACAAGCCAGTTTTTTTAACCCCTGAATCTCTAGAGAATCACTCGACTCGAGCCACTTTTAATGTCTTTATTTGTGACTACTTATGAGCCCATACCTATGCCTCTGGAGTTAGGGTGGTGAACTTTAGGTGGAAGCTTGGGTTCAAGAGTTGGCCAGGTCATATTGTTGTGCTCTTAGGAATAACATGTTACTCTCACAGAACCACCCTCTACCCAGGAGAAAACAGTTACCATCAAATTATCAGGCTTAATGAAATGCTAAGGGGGTAACCCTGCAATGGAATAGTCCCACATCCATGGGACAGAGGGGGTAAAGCGATATTCTTAGTTGCTTCATGTTAAGGAAATTTGGATAGAATTATAACAAATGTCTCCATATCATTTTTTCTGAATTTAATTAGTCATTCAATGTTAAAAATATGCACTACATACTGTAATTGACTAAATAATCTTTGACAATGTTATCCTTTTACCTCTTTCAGACAGTAATGAGTGATCAGCCTTTTTAAGAAAATTGTTCTGGCCGAGTACATTCATGATAAATAACCAAGTCTGATCACCCATTTAAAAATATTTTTCCATTGAGTATTATTTTATTAGTTTTTAGTCATTGTTGCATCAGACAGTAATAATTTTATTAAATAACAAACAGTATCCACAATGTGTAGGCAAAATATGATTAATTTCTTATTACCTTTAAGCATTAGCATATTTACTTGACACAACACCATCGCATCATAACATTTTCAATGTTTCCAAGGAATAAAGTCTATGATTCAAGATCTAATGTTTCATTCTTTTATCTATCCTCCAAGATCTGATTATGAATTTCTCTCCTCTAACTGCTACACATTTCATTGTAAATTCATTAAAAGTATTTGGTGTGAGATCATGATAATAATTAACTTTCTCCTGATAAGATTGAGTATTCTTATTACCTGCTTGCTGGATTCTGAATGTATATTAACAGGCAGAAGTAACATATTCATCACCTCTGAAAGTTAATCAAGAGTCAATCTAAATTTTCAAGGATGGTGTAGTTTACCAAGGTGCATTGCACCTTTCATTTTTTTCTCCCAGTCCTAAAATTAACTCTTCATTCTTCTCACTGGGTGCAGCATTCATTCTGGGTATAGAACATTAGTACCTTTTTCCTCCATCTTTGGCACTCATCCAAGGTTGATATTTAATCAAGTAAACATGAAAGTTAATGTCTATCCATTTCTACGTATGTAGTATAATTCTAATTATTATAAAGCTTTTGACTAAAAACTCGCCTGGACTTTCTTTTGCCTGTTTATAAAGAATCTAAAAAGTATGAAAACAAGTAAATAAATCAGATTCAATTTTTCTAGTATTGGTGGAAATTTTTCAATATTCACATTCAGCTCACAAGCAGCTGAATTAAACACTATGACTAGATTTCTAAGATTTTGCAAATAAGAAGTATGTAGAATTTACTGACCTAAGCTAAACATTGTTTCTTAAAATTACAAACACCTAAAATTTTTTTTGGGTAAGGAACTTCTATTAAATGACAACAAAATCTTACTATGTTTGTTCATATGCAAAACATGACTATGGCTTTCATACGCTTAGGAGTTGTAGAAGTACAAAGGAAACTTATGCAGTATTCTTTTCCTATAGAGTCTCTGGGTGATTGAGCAATAGAATGAAGAAAAAATTATGCTGTGTAACAATACATCACTTACATGTCAATAAACCACAAATAGAAGCCCTTCACTAGGTCTTTTGTCTGGATTAAACCACTTTTGGTACACACACTTTTAACCCAATCTGCCTTGTTAACTCCAGTTTAAATTAGAAAGTCCTAGGTTTTTCAACAATGTCAATAAAAGTTAAAGTACTTTTAAACAGTCATGAGACGTGAAGTAGCTGAGGAACTATTCCTTTGAGAGAAAGAAAAAAGCCTTCTTAATGGACACAATAGTCGGATTAAGTAAAATAAAATTCCTGGAAAAATTGAAAAAAAAACTGCTGAGACCAATACTACCAAAATAATGTTTGTCCAAAATTTAACAATATCTCTTTCCTTCATAAATTCCTCCAGTTCACTAACATGTAGAAATCTGTTCATGTATCCTTGAGGCAATTCAAACTGTGATGGGATAGGAAAGAGAGACTCATAAAAGTCTACCAGCAGTGCTTTGATGAGTTCTGCATCCTTCTGGCTGTGGTCTATGTTATCATTCAAGCAAACAAATTTCTTTTTCTTCCCTCTGATATTATCCAACTGTCGCAAGACAGCTGTGGCATTGTCACGAATCATGTGAAATGCTACGTCTTCATCTCCCACAGTCTCATATTTGTACTTAGCTGTACCCTTGTAAGAGTCATTCAACATTTTTAACAAAGGATCACACTGTTGAAGGAATTCCAGTGAAACTGATGGCATTCCGTGGTAACTTGGAACGGATGAATTAGTATCTGGCACTGATCTGTTGTCACACTTCAAAAGGGTTTTCTCAAGTGAATTTAAGTCATTTAGGTCCAACGGTAATGTGTAAAGCCGTGCAGCTAAGGTACGTAACTCTCTCTCTGACAATACTCCTAAAAAATTAAAAGAAAAAGTGTTGCATTAGTGAGTAAGATATAACTAAGTGTTTGTAAATGAATAGGTCTTTTACCCAAACTCGAGAAAAGTATTTTGGAGCATTGTATTCATTACACCCTAACATCAGTATGCATATTCTCCATACTGTTCTCTAAACACTTCCTAAGGTGCTGACAATGAGAATTTGTCCAACAATCAGGAGCTCCTTTAGTTGGTGATCAGTTCCTTTATTCTCCTGACATTAATGTTAGATTCTGGGGGGTATGGTAAGGAGAAATTAGATACCAGTCACTCATCAGGTTAAAGGTTTAAAAAAAAAACCAGGCTGAAATTTGTAATGCACTGATCTTTCTCATACTATCTTGAAACAAAATGGTTAGTAGAACTGTTGATCATTGCTTCATGTAGAAAACTAAATGAACCAATCAGTATCTGGTATCCACAAAGCAACTGGCTTACATGTATGTGTTCTCTATTGTGCACTAATGGTAACTAAAGGTCAATTACAACAGTCCCACCTGCACCTTTAAAGTTTCTGTTGAATAAAAAGGTCTGTAAACAATGCACCTTTATTTAAAAGTTATGGAACTGGGGCTTCATGTTTGCCTACAAGGTATAGTGCGTCCATCAGCAAAGGTTCAAATAAACATATTCAACACACCTGAATGATCTGCATCAACATCAGCAAAGAATTCAGTAACGTTTGGATCCTTCTTTTGACCAATTACAAAATAGTTGTACGAAAATGCAAACTGCATGTCCTCAGAGCTTCGTAACTTATGTGAGGATGTTTGGTCAAATTCTTCTGGCAAAAGAGATTGCAGCTCTTCCATGATTTTTACATCAATCATGTGCGGCATATGAGCAGGAACTTTACGTCCCATGTACCCAAACTTACGGTTATAGATCCGATGAACATGAAGCAATGAATCAGCAAAAGTGTCCAGTAATTTTCTACCAGGTTTGTGATCATTTGTGAATTCTTGTGAATGCTTTTGCCTGTCATGATATTTCAGAAGCTCCTCAAATGTCTTGTGCCTTTCCCAAGGGAGGAAACTTGTTGCACTTTGGGATATTTTTGGTGACCAGTGTCCATAACGACTTCTCCACCGCTGTGTGCTCTCCACTTGGTCTTTTTCAAATGACAATTGTTTCTGTTTTGTATTTGCAATCCAGTCAGCCAAGAATATCTCATCCTCAGTTGCTTTGTGGTCTTGATCTTTCTTTGTACCAATTTCAGCCAAAAAAGATTTTATTTCAGACACCTCCAAGGATAACAGCTTCCTCTGAGTGTGTGATTCTGTTTCTTGATTTCCCTGATGCTCAGAATCAACAATTATTTTGTCTTTCCTATTTTCCTAGGAGAAAATAAGTGTAAAGCAAGTTATAATGGAGGAGTCTTGAAACTTGCCTAAACTAGATTTACATAAGCAAAGTGAAATAGCATTTCTAATGCCTTTAAATAGCATGCAAAAACAAAAATAAAAAATCCTCTAGGGCTCACAGTCAACACGACAAAAATTAAAAGGAAACTTAACCCTTTAACTCCCCAAGATTTCATTAGTAATTCTCCTTATTATCTGCCATACAGTTCTTGTGATGTTGGTTTCGAGAACTTGGTATTGGATCAATTAATAATACTTTGACTGATATTTTCCTTTATTCTCATCAATTGTCTGCTTTATATTGTATTGATATTGTAAGGAGAAATTCTGTCTTGGTCACTCATGGGAGTTAAAGGATTAAGGGATTGGAATCAACCATATTTTTTTGAATGTAAAGATAAACTTTTAATCCAAAGAATAAACTCACTGCAATCAAATTAAAGACATTAAAAGACCATGATTTTTGATGGCCAAAACAAACTTGTACTCCCTTCCATTCCCCCCCCCCTCCCCCTTTATAAAGACCTAACCCATACTAAGGTGTAACATACCTGCTGTCCTGTGAGTAACTTTGCGGGAGGGGTTACCTCTACTTCTGATTTAGGAAAAGGTGCAGTTAACACAGCTACTGGTGAGTGAGCTGGTTCAGTGGCAACCACATTGAAAAAGCCATGTAAGATCTTAGCTTTCTTTCTTGCATAACCTCTCTGTGTCAGGTCACCATTCTTGTACTCTTTCTCTACCTCCTCCAGAGAGATTTCAACATGTTTTGGCAAAACTGTGTCATTTGATATGTGTGGTATCTCATATTCATGACTGGCTAAGGGAGGCCATGTTGGTCTGGTAATTGACTCATTACCAGCCACCACCCAATAATTCAGCGATCTATTAGCATTCTGAATTCTGATTGGATAAATAGTCCTTGGGAGTGTCTGTAAATTTGCAGAAGGTGTCACCTTTGTTGTTGTTGTTGTCATCCTTAATTTGCCGATGTTTGGGTTTGTTGTTGGAACTTTTTGGATTTCCTCTAACTTTCTTGTGTCTATGGTTACATTTAAGTTCACAACCACTTTTCTTGATTCATTCTTGTCCATAAATCCTTCAATTTTGAAATGAATACCTTCCACTGTAAAGTTATCTCGCAAAGTGAGGGTAAAGACTTTAAATTTTTGAGCCACAGTGGCAGAACGAACACAGCGCATCTCAGAGTATTCACCAGAGGTGACCCTTCCTTCACTGAAAAATGTTGAAATGTTGAAATAAAGCACGGAAATGCCACGAGGTAAAGTGACAGATTGACTGTCGTGATTAACATCAACATGATACAACTCATTGAACTGTGATATTCCACAGTCACCTGCATCAAAACCGCACTGAGCAACATTACAAGCTACGTCACAATAGCGATCACCAACCCATGTATCTGCACATCCTGGAGAACAAAACATTATGCGATAACTTCCATGTTGACTTTGCCATCCTTGATAATTAAACTGTGTCTTCTTTTTCACTCCAATACAATCACCACCATCCCAATCACATTCTGACACATTACAAGCCTTGTCACAATACTTGTCATTAACCCATGAGGATGGACAACCTTCTTTACAGTTTGGGACAGGCCAGGTTAAATAGATTTTTTGTCCATTAGCATGAGTGTAGAAATCGTCTGGCCAAACATCATGAGCAAACATAACATCATCATTGAGATATATAAACTTTGGGGATAATCCGGGAATACGGTGAAGGTGAGACTCGATAGCCGGAGAACTAAATGTTGGAAGATGGCTCTTATTCAAAAAGAGCTCTTCATGGGTAACTATGTTAAGACGTGGATTATCCAAGTTGAGCCAAGATGGTATTTGGCCATTTGTGACAATAAAAATTTTTCGCACCCAAGGTGCATGTTTTTCAACTGAACGGAGAGAATATTTCAGCTCTTCATTGTCTGCAAAACGACTTGCAGAAATGTCAGCATCTTCCTTGTCCTCAGTATCTGTGCCATGTGATACAGAAAATGAACCCCAGATCAACAGTGCAGGGGTTAATTTTAAAGATTTACCATTCACTTGCAAAGTTAATTTCAAAGCAGAAGAGGTGGTGGTCTTGTCAGAGAAGTAAGCTACACCAATAAGTTTATCAGCATGAAAAATCAAATTAACAAATTTGTCTCCAAAGTGGTCTCTCAAATCTCTCTTAACCTTTTCAACTTCATTCTCTCCTTTTAAGTTTAAAATCATGATCTCTTTGTCACTGTTAACTGCATTAGGCCGTGATGCATCACTTGTGAAGTAACCTTCTTTACTTTGAAAACTCTTCTCCCGAAGTCGGATCTTAACTTTCAAAGCGTCATTAGTGTCGCTTTTTCCACGGAATTGAATTACACCTACGTGTTCTATTTTTGAACCAGATGAAGATATGTTGTAATAATTAGTTGCTTTCGCGAGCGAGGGATCAATCGCACGTATTTGTGATAACTGCACGTCACCAGGGAGACCATTCTCTACAATAACACAAAAGGCAGGAACGCAATTTTCAAATGGGCAGCGAGAGTTCTCGATTTTATTTTCACTTTTTGCTGCTCCTTCTTTGTTCTTCTTCTCCTTCTCCTTTGATTTTACAGCTTTTGCAGCAAGAAGCTCACGAATTTCCTGGTCTGTAGCGTTTGTTCCCTTTCTCATCTTTTCTATTTCATTCAATCTCGTACGATTTTGTTGGAGTTCAATTTCTAGTTTGAGTTTCTGTAAGTCTGCAAGTAACTTCGGATCGCTTCCGTTTACCCATGTATACACGATATCAATCGGTAACGGAAGACAAAGCCTGCTCTGATACGAATTCCCAAGAATATTATCGTGGTAAGCATTAAACGTGACTGCATACTTCTGCATACTCCATTCGAGAAAAACTTCCCCAAACTGAAATGCTGAGATTAAAGTCAACAACATGCCTCCGATGCAGAGCCATATTCCATATCGGGACGACAGACATGTGTACGTCTGCCTTTGTACAAGCTTCCAAAGCGTCTGACATACTGCTCGTTTCATTTTCACTGAATCTTGGAGCTTTTTGTGAATCTTTTGTGGATCATTAAACATCGCCGGGTGTCCGCCATGTTCGATTCACCTGTCATATGATTACAAGGGGAATGACCACTGATCAGCGCGTGACTTCTACTGCTGTTTCAACGACATGCGCACTAGCGTCCCTACGTGGCATCGTTTCGTTAAAGGGGACGAGATGATGAAGACATCTGAAAATACACGTATTTACCTTAAATTTTACGACATCTGTAGGCTGAACTGTGCCTGACTGACAAATATTGCCATCAGAGTAATATTTTTTTCTCATATAAGCTTGCAAAAAAGGCATGAAGCGTTTTACACTTTTACGAAATATCTTACGAACAAGCCTGTTTTATAGCGTATTCTTAGTTTTGACAGAGAAGGGATTATGTAAGTATATATATCCATCAAACCAACCATCGTTTAATATTTTGCATTCATAGTATAAATTATACGGAGCTTAATGGCATAGATAGCTGTGCTGAATAAAATATCGTAGTTATTTTTAGATTTTATTGTATAATTTGTGCATAGGTGAGGAACTTTCAGAACAAGGTGACAACAATTCTCCTGGGAACACCGTAAACAACGCTCCGGAGGAGGTATGGAGATTAATGTTCTGGGATGCATGAAATCCATTGAGTTTCTGTGTGGGCTAGGATGCGTTAATTTTACTATAAATACGCGGATGTAGACCTGTCATTATTTCTAATCTAGAGATTTTTGCGTTTACATGTCTTTCTCGTTAAATCTATTTGATTTCACCCACCTTCACTGTCATAAATACCTGCCCTTTCCCCTCCCTTCCAACTCTTGTTGCAAACTAAGTGAGCCTGATTTGTTTTCAGCTGGTGTAGGGAAAAATAGGGCTCTTTCAAGACAAGGGAGAAATACTAGTTTTTCCTTTCAGGGTTTGGTTTCTAGCTGAATAGACATCCCTCTCATGGAATTTTTTTTAAAACCTTCCTAGCCCAAGATCTGAAAATCAATTCACTATGCTGTCTTTTATACTCTTTTTTCAGTTTTAGCTCAGATAATTAAAAATTTTAGATTTGAGAATTAAGAACTTGATATTACACTATTTGTTATCCCTCAGCTGATATTTTTATTTCTTCTCACAACTTTTTTGCTTGAAATTTTTCAACAATGCAAGGAGAATTTCCTTTTTGGTCACGTTAGGGAGTTATGATTGTCTTGTTCAGAGAAGCATTTAAGTAGCTAATGCTGATGGGTTCTATCTTTTTTTTTAGGAGTCTGTTGTTAAAGATTCTGCACAAGGTGATAAACAAAGAATTGATGAAAAACCAAGTGAACAAACTGATAATTTAGACTCATGGACTGAAGAAGTTCAAAAAGAGGTCCACAATATTGAGACTCTATCCCAAAAACATGAAGCAAGTCAAAGTTCTGAGCAGACAAACACAGACTTAGATAACCAAAAAGCTTATAGCGACAGTAAGGAAGAAGTATCTGGACAGGAAAATGAACCTTCAAGTGGGGAATATAGAGCAGATAGAACTGCTAAATCAAATGGAAAGGCTCATTTAACAAAGTCAAGTGAGGAAAATGATAAACAAGGAGAAAAATTGAGGGAAGACCATGTGGATAGTCTTCCTGAAAACATT